TCTTTTTCNAGACTTATAATTACTTTTTGGTCTTATTTTCTACTTTTAAGTCTTGTTTTCTCCTCTTCGTCACATCTGGAGCACGTCGTTTTAAATTCAGTGTAGTGTTCGTGAACTCAATACTGACACACTGTACATTGAAGCCACTCTTCGATGAGAAGTGTTTTTTAGTAATTTTCACCACCACGCCCAAGACGTCTTTTTTTTTCATCTTTTTCGAGTCTCTTTCTTTTCTCATTCTTATCTGACAGTATTTTTCATGGAATATCGTCATGGAATATAGTCTTCGAATGGCTTTTCTTTCTATACATTGAACAGTCCTTTTCTTGTCTTTTTTCCTTCTTTGTTTTGACACATTTTATTACTTTCTTTTTTATACTTTTTTTCTGTAGCATTTTTCTAGTTTAGATGTGTTCTTTCGAAGTCGAAGGTGTTTCAACTTGCTTTGCTCTTTTATGCACTTGAATCAGTTTTTGTGGACTAGGCGATATATCCTGTAGAATTCGAGATGGCAGTGTAATCTGGATCCTTACTGAACGAAGCCTCTTTCGAAGCACTCGAGTTTGAAACATTAGACATCGTGGCAGTTTTAACGCAGGATTTTGTAAACACGATTATTAGGCATCTAAAACAAATAAGAAAATACGTTAATACTTTGCAGAAAACATCATTTCTGTAACATTGCACCATGGCCATCATATACCGACTGCACTTGGCCATCTCTCCTTTTTTTCCGGGCGGGAGAGATGACCACAACAAAAACTAAAACAAGCCATTACACGAAACAAACCATTTCGAGATCGAAGTAGCACTGTTTGTATACTTTGCATCAAATACAAATATCACCATAATTTAAATAAACTGATACCACAATTATGTAAAACATAAAACTCCAAATAAATATTTACAATAGTCGAAACAAAAAACAAAGTATTTACTTACTTTTTATGCTTTTTTCGTCAAACATTTCATCGCACTGTTGCCCTCACGCACGACGCGCAGAAAACTAAACGTTAACCAGTGGCATTTAATGAACGGTACCTTGAAATATTTCGATAGGCCATCTCTCCCATATGGCCATCTACCCCGGACTTACCCTACTACATTTTTTCTCCGTTGGCTATATTCTGTTACTTTCACTAAACGTTTTCCAATAAAAATCGTTAAATCGTTTGATCGTCTTCAGTTGGAGTCGTGATATTAATATTATTATGTATTTTTAAACCTTTTTTTTGGAACCCAATATTACAGGATTTTGAAGTCGTCGTGGCCTAAAGGATAAGACGTCAGGTGCATTCGTGTTGAAGCGATACACCGGCGTTCGAATCCTAGGCGGGTACCAATTTTTCTAATGAATTACGTACTCAACAAATGTTCACGATTGACTTCCACGGTGAAGGAATAACATCGTGTAATAAAAATCAAACCCGCAAAATTATAATTTGCGTAATTACTGGTGCTAGGACCTCTTGTTAGTCCGCACGGATAGGTACCACCACCCCACCTATTTTTGCCGTGAAGCAGTAATGCGTTTCGGTTTGAAGGGCGGGGCAGCCGTTGTAACTATAATTGAGACCTTAGAACTCTTATATCTCAAGGTGGGTGGCGCATTTACGTTGTAAATGTCTATGGGCTCCAGTAACCATTTAACACCAAGGGGGATGTGAGCTCGTCCATCCATCTAAGCAATAAAAATAAAAATAAACCATTTTGTATACTCAAAATGGGTGTAACATGTCATTTTGTGACACGATAATAATATATTTAATAATACAAACAATATGTTTCCACCATTAACATTACACAGAGGAATAGACAATAAACAAAGAAATAACAGACATATACAGGAAACCATTTTCAAATGGACAACTTCCGTCAACTTCCATACGATATGACCAATACATAAATTCGACTGAGACATTCTTCTTTATCTCTGGTATGTCTACGTTTTAAATGTTAATATAATTGAGATATTAACATCTTATCGCTTAAACAGTAATAAAGAAATCTGTCCGTTTGCCATTTCTCGTGGCCTAAAGTATATTATGCGGGTGTTCAAATTCCTTAAATAAGTACTAAAAGCGATGAAAGAATAAAAATTCACTTGTATGTAACAGAAATCAGAACGGCAAAAATTATAATTTGCGTATTTACTGGCGACATCTTATGACCGAAGGGATAGGTATCGCAACTCTGCGAATTTTTATCTCGAAGCATTAACGTGGCTCAATTTGAATGATAGCCGTTATATTTTATACAATAAAGACTTAGACTTGACATCGCCGGATAGATGGCGGCACTCACGCTGTGATATCTGTGCGGTCCGATAACCTGGATGAATTGGGTCGTGAGCTTATTCGCTCGTCTCGACAATAAAAATAAATAAAAAATAATTTATATAATGGAAGTGTTTAACTTGGTTTTTGGCTATTACGTCGCCTTATTTAATTTTTATTTTAGTGACATCTACAAATACATCAAGTTATTTCGAAATAACTGACAATACTATTTGACGTAGCATCTTGGATGCTCCTAGACAGCGCTGTTAGAGTTATTTAACTTTTAATAGATGGCGTTATTTTATGTTGTCAGTCTGATCACAGATGGCGCTAGCTGAAATTAAAATAAACTGGTCAAAGTTTTCGAATTTACAGATTTAAAAAGGTTAGATTACAGCCGACTTAATCTAATAGGTGTATGGCTCTAATAAATAATAAAAAAAGGTTAGATTGTCTTCATTTTCTATTTATATCATAACACGTTTCAGCCAGTTAGGTAAGTACTCATTGAAATTTGTATTTAAGATATCTGCGAAGTAAATAGGTACCTACTATCGGGTACAATTAAATGCTCGGCATCACTAGGCTACGTCGGCATTTTCTTTAATTATTATTATTAATTATAATTATAATTGTCTTTTGCGTCGCCGTCTCATTTCTGCGTCTTTTTTTAAAATTGCGACTGAAGAAATGAATAGTATGATAATGTTTATATTCGGATTGTATAAAATTTGTAAACCATCACTCACCACGGTGGACACTTATCTATATGTACCTACCAAAAAAATCATGTTATCCACGGCTCATAAAGACATATCAATACTCAATTCTTTTTTTTTAAAGAAAGATCGTGGTTCTTTCACGGGGCTTGCTGCTTAACCAGAATTGTAGAGCAGTCTATGGCTCGCCCTGGAGGAAAAAGGCCATAAGACAAAATATGCCATCCGACTTCAACCATATCATATCAGTCCTTCTTTTTTATGTTTAAGAGATTACTGGTGGCCCAGAGGCCTTTCCAGTTTTACCAGGACAGGTGGGCACGGGCTCAGACAGTAGGGGTGGGATTTACTAACAGCTACCCGAGCGCCTCCAAAGGAGACCTAACAACTCAAAAGTAGCTGCTTCGCGAATGAATCTTCTACTGGATCGGAATCGCGACTCGCTGCGAAGATCCGACGAGAAACTCTTTGCTGAGTTCGACGAGTACGGTTACCGGAGTCCCTACTCCTAGTGCTAAAGCTAAAGGCGTCTAATGAAAAGGTGATTGGATCTGATGGATCTGTAAGGACGTGCCTAGTGCGTCAACGGTGACTGGTTCCTGCGTGATCAGGATTCGGGGAGTAGTCAGCGGCGGCAACGATAAGGCGATTATCATGACGATATCAGTCCTACCACATTAACACTGATATGTCTTTAATTGAAGACATGAGTGTATGAAGAGGATATAATACAATTTGTTCATTTTGAGAAAATGGGCAACAAACTTTTGTTACTTGTACTTTTTCTTCGTACATAACTCCTTCATCACATGCAATTTCTAAAAATAGCCTTTACACCCGGGGTTTTAAGGTCTAATATGATTTATAGACACATAACACCTTCATTCAATGTAAAAACTCAAAAATCGTAAAAATGATAAGTACCTTAACCCCTTCATCCACTCAATTATTATATTGCACCTAGTGCTAAGCGGTTGCAGAGATCAACAGATATCAAAAGGCACCCAAATTAAGACATGCGGTTGAAATCTAATTGAATTTAAATACTTTCTCGTCGTATTCGTCAAAGAGCTCGACGTGCAATCTAGCCCATAGACAAAACCCCATGAGTTTCTAGCCGGATGTTTTCAGTGGGTCGCGATTCCGATCTGGTGGCAGCTTCAGTGAAACACTAGGTGCACTTGTTATGGATACTACCAGCAAGTTCGCTCAGGTTGAGCCACGTGAGCACGTCCGCGCGTGGTTGGGATAGCTTTAGGATTAGGTACATTTTTTTTCTTTGAAACTGGCCACCTTTAACACCGGAACCCATACTGAAAGCAACGGAATCCAAATGCCCCATCCGGAAACGCGGCTATTATAATTTTGGCGCTTTGATTTTCTGACAATTTAAATTTTAATTTTAGAATACGTTTCCAGATTCTGTCCAATCATCATATTATTATTATACTGGCAATTACTGAAAATCAGGATTTAAAGAAAAAAAAAAAGAAAAAAAACTATAATTTTTAAATACATAATTATTTATTCGTGTATAATAATTATTATTAGAATACATCAAATTTTTTTGGTGTAATACGAAATTCGCTAACGCGGTTTATTATTTCGGCCTCGGCACGGCGTAGGCCGGAAAGACGTGTGTGTTCCTTAATATTTATTGTACATTTACAGGAATGTACTAACTAAAACTAATTAGCTCGACTTTATAACGGCCCTAATAGAAAATAATACAAAATGATTCGTTAAAAAATTAAACACGTTATAAATTATTATTAAAATCATTAATGATAAAATTGTTAAATCAGTCATTTACATTTTCCTTTTTAACTTTACAAACATCGCGCCACTTGAAGCTCGTATTGACATGGATAATTTGCATAACAATTTCTGTTTTTTTTTTTTTTGAATTTTTGGAATATTTCATATTGCACTTTTTTTTGTCGTCAAGNAGCTCGTATTGACATGGATAATTTGCATAACAATTTCTGTTTTTTTTTTTTTGAATTTTTGGAATATTGCATATTGCACTTTTTTTTGTCGTCAAGTTCTCTGGGACGTCAAGGAAAGTATTATGCAACTTATTTTTAGTAAGGACACGATCACCGTAATCGTAAATTTGTTTAAAAAAAATATAACAAACCTCGACCTTAAGACCTCATGTTTGCTAGGCAGCTAGACAATTATAAAATTAAATAAAAACTAAAACACTTTATTTTACTTAAAAACAATTCGTCTCGATACGACGTGTTGCGAATCCACAGTACGACGAATATCTAGAAATACCATCTTAATTTACAATTCGTATATCACTGTAAAAAAATGCTTAAGACAAAAAGTATTTTCTTGACATTTCTTGACAATCCATAACGCAATCTTTAATAACACGCATCGTCCCAGTTTGTTGACTCATTATTGCCGTTTATGATTTGAAGCATTTGTGGCCAAATCCATTCACAATCTCCATTCCCATTCTCAATGAACTGAACTTAATAACTTATAAGTAATTAAAACTAAGGAAATGGCATTAAAACGTTAAATCGCCTACAGTAAGTGGGCTGAATCTCCTAGAGCATAGAACATTTACTACAATGTAAACCTATTCGATAATATTATGACTAAATTATTCGAGTTTCTTATTATTTTTTTAAGATTTTTTTTTTGTTAAGAAGAACCAGATCAAGATACTAATTTTAATTAGAGCTCTCTACTTTTAAAAGACCACTTTCGGTATGCAAGACTCGAATGTCATTTCAAAATCGTTTCGGCCATCCGAGTGTTTGCATAGTGAAAAAGTCTTTGAAGCGATTCATAAATACCTACAGCCTAAAATACAATACTGGATCATTGATATTTAAAAAATAAAATATACACCTTCGGGAAACGAATCACATAACACGTATATGGTTCATATGAGGCCGTCAGCACAAAAGTGGCCTATCCTACATTTTTTCATATTCGTGGTTCTACCAAATTGCAATTTATTTAAAACATAATAAATTTTGATGCAAAACCGGCATATCCCTAGTTTCGCTCATAGATAGCAGATGGCTTTGTCAACATTATTTTTGCGCGTTTTGTTTTTGCTTATGAGGCAGTGTAAAAGTAAATTGAGACATCATTGTCTCCATGCTTACTATAGTAAGCTCAGTTAAGCTTAGGCCACTTTTGCGCTGATGGCCTCATATAGCCCTCTCATTTAAACCTCATTCTGACATACACGATATGTACATTAATTTACATAGCAAATAAAAAATACACGGACGCGACACCAATCATCACACGGACACCGAATCAAAACACGAATTCAATGAATCGATTATAAATTACCAAGTAAAAAAAAAAAAATGTTTAACGCTATATTTACATCAATAATTGTCATTTTGATTGTTTATGACAGCGAAAATTAATATCAAAAGAAAATTAATTAATATACAGAACGAGACGCTATATTTATTTATTTTACGCGATAATTCCGCATTCGTCTCGGGCAGTGCGATGACAGATTTAACGACTACATTATTTATTTTGAGAATCACATTACAACCGAAAACTCTACCGTACCGTAAATCTTTAAAAATTTGATTTTCACCAAGAACATTTTCGCAGGGAAGCTCTACGTGTAAAATTATTACCAGTTATTCGCCGTCGCGTTCATATTCGAAAGGGGAGAAAGGGAAAGAAGATACTTTTTCAGTTTATCGTCTACTTTGAACTTGTAAAATTAAATAATTGCGCCTTTCTCCTCACCTTTCTAGCATTTTGAATATAAGCGGACGGTTTTCCCCGGAACGTATACTAAGTTATAAAACTGACTGGCTGAACTGCGCGCTGCTTGAGAAAACGAGAATTGCGTGTCAAATTTAGTCAATAACACTTCTAAAGAAATACACTCGCACACACGAGGCAAAATTGTATCCGGCAGCGTTCCGTCGATAAATGCATGTAAACAGTAGTGGCAGATCGATGGAAGAAGATGGGTGTGATTCCATAGAATTTCTTGAACACCGTGGAGCATTCGGTACAAACTCCTTGAATCCAGAGGCTCCAAGCGATCAGCCAGATCATATCATTGCCGACAATCCTCCATGCAATTGAAGGATTTTAATTAACAACGCGCAGACTTTGCGTGGTCAGCCTTCAACTCAATCTTTGGTTTTGACGGTAGTTTTCAATCTGTACCTAACACAATGTTGATGACTTGTTACGGTCTAGGACACCATTTGCCTGTGCCCATTCTGACCGTTGCTGTTTTGCGATGGGAACAATACGCCTTCGTACGTGACACCATTCAGTTCGATGGAGACTACGAGTTGCTGGTCCCCAGTGCTGGCGTCACCTGCGAACGATATAATGTGCGTTTAGTACTTTCCATTTACATATGTATTTATACATAACTAGAGGTCCCGCAGTAATCGAAATTCGACTATAATTAATTGGAATTGTAAGTTTGTACACTATTATGATTGTATTTTATACAAATTTCACCAAGACTACACTATAAAAAAATTAACAAAGACAAACAATATTTAATCTATTCTCAATTTGACAACAGACGTCAAGAACAAAAGTTTGACAATAAATAGTATGCATGCGTGTGTGCGTCAAATACATGGTCTGTAGTGTGTGTAATGTTTTCTTTATTGGTTTAATGTATCTTTTATGCATTATTTAAAAAAATATTAGCATTGTGCACTTCTTCTCTATATTCACTATCAGTGTGGAAAATTTCATACTTCTCCGTCCGCGCAATTTTCGTAAAAAGGGATACAAAGTTTTTGCTTCGCGTATTAATATATAGATATAAAAAAATGTGTATCCTAAACGAATTTATTTTAGAGATATTAAAAACAAAATACGGGTCTAATATATTCTTGGGACTGCACATGTTTTTAACCGACTTCAAAAAAGGAGGAGGTTCTGAATTCCATGTTTTTTTGTGTAGGTATTAGTCAGAACTTATTTCTAGGTGAACAGATTTTGGGGATTCTTTTCGTTTTATTTGTGAGAATATCTTATGATCATTATATTTTATCAGGACCACCATCCATCTGAGCAATAGTTATAGTGTTATCCTTAACAATGTTTAATTTACTACTTCTACATTGATGATATTATCATTCTATTATATAAACTATTGAATTCGGTTTTTTTTTTTTTTATTTTGTATTATGTTCATCTATGAAGCATTAATGTGCTGCAAAATTTACGTAAACAAATTATGAAATTGAATTTTTGATATACACAAATGGAGTAGTAGGAGTAAAGTTTTGTTACTGGTGGTAGGACCTCTTATGAGTCCGCACGGGTAGGTACCACCACCCTGCCTATTTCTGCCGTGAAGCAGTAATGCGTTTCGGCTTGAAGGGTGGGGCAGCCGCTGTAACTACACTGAGACCTTAGAACTTATATCTCAAGGTGGTTGGCGCATTTACGTTGTAGATGTCTATAGACTCCAGTAACCACTTAACACCGTATGGGCTGTGAGCTCGTACACCCATCTAAGCAATAAAAAACTAAATAAATAAATAAAGCGTATGTTTTCGTATGAATGAAAGTCGGCCTTAGTACATTGGGCAATTGATTCAAAATCCACATTCCACTCACCTTTAGTAGTGATTTTAAAGGCAGCAGCCCCGTTCATTCCGTTGGAGCCGTTGACCTGGGGGGTGTTGCTGCAGGGCTGGCGCGGCGGGGAGGGGAGGCGCGGGGAGGGCGGGCGCGGGGTGCGGCGCTTGGCGGGGGGCGGCGCGGGAGACCGGCACGCTTCACGCTTGCAGCCGCTGGTGATAGAATTCGGACTCTCGCTAAGGTTCAGGGCCTCTCTGCGAATGAGAGAACAATTTTAGAACAGTCTAATATCATTCTTCATGGGCTTTTGAGGTTTTTTTACTGGCGGTAGGACCTCTTGTGAGTCCGCGCGGGTAGGTACCAGTACCAGGTGAAACAGTAATGCGTTTCGGTTTGAAGGGTGGAGCAGCCGTTGTTACTGTACTTCTCAAGGTGGGTGGCGCATTAACGTTGTAAATGTCTATGGACTCCAGTAACCATTTAACACCAGGTGGGGTGTGAGCTCGTCCACCCATCTAAGCAATGTAAAAAAAGTAAAAAATAGTGAATTTTTGTATTAATCAAATATTTATGTTCTTTTTAAATTTTTATTTTTCTTATGTCGTACTGTTAACATTTAAATTTAACTTATTTTTCCGTTGTCTATAAAACTGCTGTAACACGTCATAGCGTGTTGTTATAAGAGATTGCTGTACATGCCTGTAACTGGCTTACATAACAGTACTTAATTTTATACTTGTTAATTTTAAGCTTGAATCTTTTGTGTGTATTGCTTTTGGTATGTCATAAATAAATAGAAATTACTATAAAAAATCTTATCTAGAAACTGATCATTTTAATACTAACAGCATCAATGAAGATAATGGACTACGTTTTTCTAACGACGACGTTTTTAACCTTCCAAATAAGGAGACCTCAACTTTTTATGGAATGTCAGATTTATTCGTAGAATGTCAGAGATATCACAGCTCTTGACTAGCTAGTAAAATAAATAATAGTTTAAAAAAAACTAACAAAATACTCTTTTATAGAAAATCCTGCTTTTCAGGATATTATCAAAATAACACTTCTACTCATATCTGTTCATAAAATATTTATAACTACTTATACCATGCACCCCACGCTTTTTTTACAATAAAGCCTTTACTATTTTTAATTCAAATTTATTAAAATTTATTTTCTATTTTTTAATTGTATTTTCTATAAAAGCATATTTTGTTATTTTTTTTAAACAAATATTTATTTTTCATTTTATACTTGAATTATAATTTTTTTCATAATTTTTTTAAATATTGTGTTGTCATCGGTCCTTAATAAGTATACCAAAATTCGAGTTAATCCGAGGTTTTGAAGGTTGTCAAAATCATGTTCAAAGATTCCGTTACAAACTAACATACATACGTCTGAAGCTAATAAAAGCGTATTTAAAAAAAAAAAAACAATTATATTCTTACCGTTGCGGTTCTAGTTCCGGCTGCGGGCTATGGTTGTTGTTGTTGTACAGAGACCAAAGGGTCAGTCGGGACACATCAATAGCGTTAAGGGCATCACGCGGCGAGATCATGGGAGTGGGCCCGTTACCGCCTGGTGGCGATTCTGAACCTGAAACATTTAAATCTCATGTAATCCAATAACTTAATTTTTTTTAGTCTCCTTCATGAATAGAACGTAAATGGAAACCGTAGGGTATTCGGGACGTTGGAAACAGGGAATTAAATTCCATATAGTATGACGTCACTTGAGGCCAAAATAACGTAACCATAGTATCTGTATTGGGTCACCTGGCGTAAAATTGTTACCGGAGAGTTATCACAATGTAAATGTTGCGGCCCATATTGAGACATGAGGTCTCGTAGTCTCAATTGCATGCTCAACATAACCAGGATCATGGGACTTACTATGCGGACTTATAATACGTCGTACCACCTTCTTTTTCATATATTACTTTAATGACATATGAAACGTATTCATGTCATATTCTATACTTTCACTCTTTCTCAATCTCTAAATTACTCTATTTTGTTTCCTTAAATTAAAATTAGCCTCTCTAAAACTCACCATTCCTCATCATCTCCCGCTGTTGTTGTATCATCTTCATATATTCCCTTACTCTGTATTCAATATCGTGTTGTGAGATGTGAGTGGGATGTGGAGGCAGTGGTGGTAGACGTGGTACTCCAGCGACTCCTCCTCCGAGGGAGAGAGAGAGCGGCTGCATGTGCTGGGAGAGCTGGGCGAGAGAGGCCGGGACTCCGCGGTTCAATGGCGGCTGGAATAAAGGGGAAATTAAACCCTGCAAGTTTTGATAAGTTAGCCCAGTTATCTAGTTATAATCTCTTACATAATAATATTTACTTAAAACTGTGATTAGGTCAGCGGATTTTAGCGAAAATTGTTTAGTGGTGCTAGTGCTCACAGAACAGTGTTGCTTACGGACAGTCGGTCTCAACTACTGAATTCACCAGCTAAGTGGAATATTATTTATTGGATACTATAAAATGACGATGCGACCCTGATAAACGTATATACGAGTGGAATCGAGACACATTCATCGCCTGACTTAAGAAGAGTGAAGACGTCTTGGAACTGTCATAGCTTTGTGTTGCGCAAGCTCTTTGCACGATTACCCACCGTGCACCCACAATGTCAAGAAATAATGAAGATATCTGTCCATTCTGCGACATATAGGTGTGTTTAGCAAATAAATCAGTAGTTTTTTTTTCTACCTATTCTTGTAGCCGCGAGGGGTTATTCTAGATTCGCCGAGCTTGTAGATGAGCTCACGGGGCTCAAACCTGACGATGTTGCTAACACGAACCCTAGCAAGAGCCGTGCTTCGCAGAATCTATCACCGGATCGGAAACGTGGCCCAGTGAGAAGATCCGGCGAGAAACTCAGTGGACTGTGTCTGTGGGTGAGCTCGTCCACGCATATAAGCAATAACAAAAAAAAAAAATTCGTTTGCCATCGATATAATATTACGTTTGCACGAAAAATTGAGTGTAAAAATGATTCTCACCATAGCTAAAGCAGCTTGGGCGTCGTATTGTCCGGAGGCGCGTCTTCCCTCGCGCTTGTTACCTTCGATAGCAGCATCCAACTCGCTGCGAGTGGACAGATTTTTCTTCTCACATTCATAGTCGTATAGATATTTCATATATCTGTAATGCGTAAACTTGCGATTAGTCCAACGGGCCATACAAAGCTTAAACTTAAGGGAGAAGAACTAACTATGTTACTGTCGACATGCTTAAGAACCAATTATATAATTAAACGTTGATCACGTCCTAGAATAACGATATTTAAAACAAAATTTACATTTTAATCTCGCATTTGTATTTATTACGAGAGATAAAATTTATGAATTTATCAATGTATGGAAATGGCAGTGCAAGGTAGAGGGGCAAGAGGTCGACCGAAGAAGACATGGATGGAGTGTGTAAATGACGATATGAGAGAGAGAGAGGAGTGAGTGTCGAGAAGACGGCTGATAGAAGAGAATGGAAGAAATTAGCTGTGCCGACCCCGTAAAATTTATGATAACAAAATTTCGAAGCTAAACCATAAAAGCAGTTTTAAATATGTACGATCCGCCAAAACCGAACATAACACTAGAATGGCAATGCTCATGTTTTCCAGCTACGTTATTTAAAGAACCAGCCATCGCCAGTGGTTTCAATCAACAAAAAAAAACACTCCGAACATTGTGACGGCATACGTTATCAAGAAATCGGTGTCAACCGTCCAATAAATCTAAAAAACCTCTAAGACGATGTCAACGTTCAATTCCTTTTGTCACAGAACATCTCTGAATAGTTGAGTGCCTATATCTGGCGGAACATGACACGCCTATAAATCATACTACAAGCCCAATTATTATCAAAAGCCTATCCTTCAAAATAATAATAGAAGCATCCTATTACATTCTTAATCCTATTCTTACGAAGAGTTAATTTTTATATGAGCAGAGTGACAACCATTCGTTACCATAACTCATATTAAGCGCTCACATATTTAATGCGTAATACAATAGCAGCTTTGAACGCGCCGCTGTGCACTCTTCATAAAAATGCTGGGTTCGTCTTTGTCGAAAACCTCTAAATATATGACATTCATCATTAGCGTCCATCTAACTTTATTTTGGTCACCGCAGTACCTTAAATCATTAAATATCCATAGGGCGTTATCGCAGCAAGCATAAGTACTTTGGAAACTGGGTTGTTACGAAGAAGTAAATTTTAATGCATAAAATGTTAGTTTTTTTAATGTGCTAGTGACAATTGGTGGCCCGGAGGCTTTTCCAGTTTTACCAGGACACGTGGGCGAGCAAGGGCTCAGCCAGGAAGGGTGGGATTTGCTAACAGTTACCCGAGCACCTCCAAAGGAGACCTAGCAACTCAAAAGTAGCTGCGAATGAATCTACTACCGGATCGGAATCTAAAATTTTAGTATCAATGATAACGTTTCAAAGCGAACACACGCTGGTAAAGTAATATTATATAGAGGTTGCATTCAAAACGTTAGCGTCGTGCGTAACGGTGCACAGTTTGAATTAGAAATATAAGACACCTTTATTCCGACCGACAAAAGGAGGTGAAGGAACTCAACAGAAAGATAAATGAGAAATTATATCGGCCGAGATGAGTTAGGGGTTATTAATTATGAAGACGTCACATTGTCGCGGTCGACGCTCACGTACGTATCTATTGTCGTCAATGTTTTGTCTCCGGCTCGTGAGAATTTGAATGAAGGTGTGCGGATACAAAAGCGCTATCGAATATGGAGCGAAGCGAGGACAGCTCCTGACTTGTTTTAGGACCACACAAGCCACTATGAATAGTTTATGGATACTGTGAAGCGATAAACCGCTTGAATACATAGATTAGATGAGACACAATACAATCCAATACGTCGACGTTCGGATTATAATCTAGGATACGGGAACACGTTTGTGACAATCGAAGTCTTCGCTGCGCTTTCGTAACGTTATTTGTGATGCTAATAGTAGAAAGCGATTCCGTTTGATACGGGCGTAAATTGGATCGTGACGTAACTGATACTTATATATTTTATTCGTTGTATATCCTATCAGCGCTAAAAACATATTCTACGATAGCAAATCCGACTTAAATTTTACAGTAGTACGAAATATAGATGTATTAGAAGTTAGCTTTTATCGCGGGCCTTGAGCGCGGCGACCGAATCGTGAAATTCCGTAACGAAAAAAACGTAACACCCCTCACTCTGCCTACCATGTAGCTCGCGTTCAACACATTCAGACGTTGCGCTTGTGTAGTGTTTGTGAATAAGCGCGTGGCGTGACGTCACACTGCATGCGCATCATGAAAAGTCTGCCCATCTCTCTCTCGCGCGGTCTAGCTTATGAGTGTGAAGGGGACAGTTAATGTTTTGCTTTTATTAATGTTTAATATAGCGTGGTCTTGTTTTATTATTGTTTTAATATTAAATTATCATTGTCTAATTATAATTGCATAAGTTGATAAAGAATGCTGTGTGTGCCACAATTTTTTTTTTATAGCTTATAAATGTAGATGTCTATGGGCTCCAATAACTACTTAACACCAGGTGGGCTGTAAGCTCGTCCACCCAATTAAGCAATAAAAAAAGGGTATCTTTTGTAACCTTTTTTGTTGATTTCAACGTTGGGATTATATTTTTATGATGATAACCTTTAAATAAACCTGTGCCTCTAACCTTTTTTTTATTTTTGCTTAGATTTAGTAATACAGCTTAATGAGTACTCACTGAGTGCGTAAAGTGAAGGCAGCGGACGTGATAGAAGACGGTAGCCGGAGTCCCTTAATTATCTCCTGCCAGAGTTTCTTGTTGATCACCTCCACGAGCCCTCCACGTGCTATCACAAGGTTGTACAGCTCGTACAGGTCTAGGACCGACTTGGCCATAATCGGTAACCGGTTAATCGGTGTACCTGAAACAAATAGAAAACATTGTTGATTAAACTTTAGATCGATTCCTGTTTTAGCTTATTAATTGTTTAGGGAAATCATAAACATAAAATTTTGTATGAATATTTTTCAATGGGGGAACACACTAATAAGTATGGCAACACCGTTAGTTGCAGTTGCACAAAAAATTCTGGTCGTACGTGGACATGTTGTACAACAATAAATAAAAATCCTTCGCTCTGAATCTAGTTTTTATTCAAGCTAGCACACAAAAGTACAGTCCATGATCTAAACATTAATGAAATTTGATTTTTAAGCGATCAATATGAATGAGTTCCACGTCTTCACTTAGCACAAGATTACCGAATCCCACATAGGCAACAATTGGAATATTGTTCTAATTACATGGGTACAACTGTATAGAGCCCTTCGATTCGAAAAGTATGGATACTACTCCATAGAAATAGGCAGAACATTACGCCAGCGGTCTGGCAATACCACCGTTTATTTAAATGAGTAATAATTTTTTCAACGGCCATTTTATTAAGAAGGTACTGTAAATATGTCACGAAGATCTTTCGGTGAGCCGGTGTTGCTTATGCCAGTCAATATGTTGTTCGAAGCGTAGCCACGCCGTAGCAGTCTAGGAATGTAGTTCTTAGTTATATTAAGATTTATTTGACACATTGCTGTTGCGATTCCGTTAGTCTTCCTCATCCGCGATTAGCCCGACTAAACACCACCGCATTAGACAGTCAGTGACATAATCAAGGGCAAAGGGGTAAATCAGTGATTTTTCTGCACTTTTCCTGACAATTAATCGAGGCTCCAACCCGTGACTTCTGTCCCTGGTAATATTCTCGTGGTTTTTTTAAAATAATTCAATTTAAAATAAATATTATCATTCGGGCACATTAGTAATTTATTTGCGATTAAATTCCACAAAGGAAATCTTTTATGAAAATGTAGTTTTCTCGCTACCTGCCGTGGGAGGTAATTTGGGCTTCACATTAAATAGTAAAAGAGCTCACGGGGCTCATACTGAGAGAATTTACTAAAATCTGCCCTAACAAATTCGCTGAATCATTATTTTTTATTGCTTAGATGGGTGGACGAGCTCACAGCCCACCTGGTGTTAAGTGGTTACTGGAGCCCATAGGCATCTACAACGTAAAGTGCGCCACCCACTTTGAGATATAAGTTCTAAGGTCTCATTATAGTTACAACGGTTGCTCCACCCTTCAAACCGAAACGCATTACTGCTTCACGGCAGAAATAGGCGGGGTGGTCGTACCTACCCGCGCGGACTCACAAGAGGTCCTACAACCAGTAAATAACACAACTCTACAAAAAAATATTTCGTTCTTTGTCCTAACGTTTATACTAGGTTATTCCGGTTAATTATTCACAAAAACGAAAATAAAATACCTTTTTTGGTATAAAGTTTGCTTCTGTGATAGTCATAGTAATAATACACATTTTTCAATTTTTTTTAAATTTTAATTAATCGTAATACTTTCAAAAAAACCGCGCTATGAGAGTGGGGTGTTTACTTTTCACAGTGACACTAGATGGCACTCGAGTTATAAACAAAGATCAGGTGTTTTGTACAAGCCCAGAAAAACTTAAAATGTCACGAAAGTGTAAATACGATGCTGATGCATTTTGTTTTATATGTGGTCAATTTATTAAAGTTCAAAAGCAAACTGTTTCATGCCATGTATTTTTTTTTTCCTCTAATTACGATCTAAAATATCGAAATTGTATGCTTTGCAATCAAAGTCAAATTTGTTGACCCGTGTAATCAACCACCGAATCGCGTCTCGTTGAGAAGATCCGCTGAGAAACTGAGCGGGTCGTGAAAACGTATGCAAAGCACGATTGTTCATATATAGAACCGCATCGTATCGCACGATAGATGATTTACGAGGTGTGCGAGCGCGTCTGATCGTCGCTTTTACGACGGAACGGCAACGCGCCGGATTTAGAGTTTCACGTGCGGTCAATAATTCACCATTACCTACCTATTACTGCATACTCACGGCGGCAATGACGCTGGTACGCTTTCAATAGCATTAAAAGAAACGGTTTCAGCGAAGAATACACTACTAAAACGTGTTTGCTGTTTGTCTATTTAATCTAAAAAAAAATCCTACCTACGCTGATTACCTTGAGAGGCTATTTCAGCGTAACCTTAACTAGTAGGTGAGCTCACGGGGCTCAAACCGGAGCGATGCTAACACTGACCCTAGCAAGAGCAGTGCTTCGCAGAATCTACCACCGGATCGGAAACGCGACCCATTGACGAGAAACTCAGTGGGCTTTAATCTAAAACATAGAGAGATGACAGTGTAAAACTAGGATTTAGTAATTTTTAAATGATTCTAAACGATTTCTGGATGACACTCACGGTACTTCGGCATAAAACGATTCGATTAATTTTGAGACAATTTATTTTAGAAATAAACAAATATAAAATATAGAATTCTAAATTAAATCTTACGTAATTCTAATAAAATAATAGAAATCAGAATCAAACACTAAGTCTAAATGACTTTTTGACTAATGCAATAATTTTATATTTAGGTAGTTACACTGTTTACACCATATATAATGTTTTACAGCTTAAGTTTGGTCTTTTTATAGGTTTTCTTGAAGATATAAACTAAGGAACGACTGACTGTTCTGTTATTTATTGAGTTTGTACGAAATGTGATAAAGTATGTTTAGGTTAAGAAATTTAAAACCTTTCTTTACCAAATAAGACTTAAATATTATGATATAAATCGAAGTTTTTATTTTTTATTGCTTAGATGTGTGGACGAGCTCACAGCCCACCTGGTGTTAAATGGTTACTGGAGCCCATAGACATCTACAACGTAAATGCGCCACACACCTTGAGATACAGTTCTAAGGTCTCAGTATAGTCACAACGGCTGTCCCACCCTTCAAACCGAAACGCATTACTGCTTCACGGCAGAAATAGGCGGGGCGGTGGTACCTACCCGTGCGGACTCACAAGTGGTCCTACCACCAGTAATTACGCAAATTATAATTTTGCGGGTTTGATTTTGATTGCACGATGTTATTCCTTCACCGTGGAAGTCAATCGTAAACATTTGTTAAGTACGTATTTCATTAGAAAAATTGGTACCCGCCTGCGGGATTCGAACACCGGTGCATCGCTCGATACGAATGCACCGGACGTCTTATCCTTTAGGCCACGACGACTTACGGCTAAAACGTAAAATGTTTAATATTAATTTCCATCAATCAATAGGGGGAACAAATAGATCGTTGCAAACAATTTGTTTGTACGAACGCCAAGTCATCGTTTCCATATCGAATTACATGTCAGTGAGTACTGTGACACGAGGGTCGATCTTGCTTGGTTAAATGTCGTTTGTGCCTTTTTTATTCCATTTTATTTATAACTGTTTTTCTCGATTTTTACATTAGCTACGTCGTGAACGGTTTCGCGTCTCATAAAATACTTTTAAAACACATTCGCCTTGTTACATAAAATGTAAAATAAATTAGTAAGAACAATTTAAGTCAACAGTAATTAAAGTTTAATAAAAAACCGATTCTAAATTTCAGTGGGCAGCGAACAGATATTTCCCAAATGAAAAGAGGGCGAACAAGCACAAACTCAACTCATCGAATAGGACAGAACATTAGCGAATACCTAAACGACTATTTGTCAATCCGTCTTCCTGAAGCCGTTAATCATTCCCCGGTTATCTGCGAGAGGGGTGGGGACTTGGATCCGAGGGGGGCGGGCGTAGTCACCCTTTCAGAGATTAATTGCGCTTCGAAAATGAAACATCGGAATTCACGTAAAGATAATGAAATTCGTGAATGGATTTCACGAATTATCTGAAGAGTAGATCTTATGTGAAATTTCAAAAAAAGAAAAATATTATTTTAAGTCAGTTTTTTTAGAAGCAACTGATTAATGGTAGAACAAATTTATCATCAAAGTTGTTCCATCTTAAAAAATGGCTTCTAAAATGTTTTTTGCTTTTTTCATAGTATATACACATAATAATATGTACGCATATAATATAATAAATAAATAGCGTTTCGAGGAGAATTTAAATAAATTTCAATTTAATTATTTATTTTGTTTTCTAAACGACATCTCCAAAATTCACTTCTAAATACGTAAACAATATATCTGTGATATAATACGATAATAAATAAACACGACTTCAAGAAGATTTTATAAATAAACTAACTGACCCGGCAAACGTTTTTTTGCCATATATAATAAGATTCTAGGGAATTTCTAGTGTAAAAAAAAACGAACTTATTGTAAGTGTGTAAGAATATGGTAAATGAGTGAAAGAGGCATGCAGCGCTGTGACCTATGAGGGAATATAAAAATAACAAAACCTCATTCAACCACATAATACCGAATTCTAACAAAAAAAAAATTGTCCAAAAAATAAAAAATAAATGTTAGGGGTGTAGCCGATTCTCAGACCTACTGAACATGCTTATAAAATTTCATAAAAATCGGTCAAACCGTTTCAGAGGAGTATGGTAACTAACATTGTGACACGAGAATTTTATATATAAGATTTGACAGATACATAACAATAATCTTTCATAAACGACATCTTCAAAATTCACTTCTAAATGCGCAAACAATATATCTGTGATATAATACTATAATAAATAAACACGACTTCAAGAAGATTTTATAAACGAAATTGACAAATACATTTGACCGCTGTGCATAAATTAATGTTTAACAATGCAAATCTTTGGAAGTTATTCAACTTAAAATCACATTGATATTATTTAGAAGACAAAGCACTATGACTAGTGTACCTAATACTAAGTTTCTTAGAACATAAAAGGCAAATGAAAAGACAATAAAATTGAAATAATCTAACTAACAATGGCTGACTCAGAGCACACAATGACGACGAACGTGAATATTATTATCGAGATTGTCCGAAGTTCATATCCCACGAATTACTGTAGAATATTAAAAATTAGTTGGTATTGTCTG